TCAACACAGGAGCTGCCCCCTGGTGGTCAGTGTGCTCCCACTGGGAGTGCTTAGCTGACGACTGAAGGGCACCAGACACTGGGCTCATTGCTGGCAAGCGCAGCTTCGGCGTCGCAAGCCTCTTTCGCCTCCGTGGCAGCGCTACTGAGCAGCAGCTGTGGCAGGTGCAGTGGGGCTGGGATGAGCGGGAGTGGAGCGGCGCCCTTCCCAGGCTCGGGCTCCTCCCCCTGGCCTGATGCTTCGGGCACTATTACATCCTCGGGGGATGTCGGACTGCAAGTGGGTGCAAGCCAGGCTGAGGGACCCCACTGGTGCACGAATCCATGCACCGGGCCTCTAGTAAAATATAACTTTGAATATGTAAATATGTCTGAGTAGATTTCATTTGGTTTGCTTGGGATTTGTTGTCTCTATTGTATCTGAGGATTCATGCCTTACATTAGTTCTAGGGGAAAATGTCTCACATTCTCAATATCCTCTTTTTATGGAACTAATAATATTAAATGACCTTATTCTATCTTTTATGACACTTAATACTTTTTCATATTTTCCATATCTTTGTCTCTGTGCTGTGTGCTTTTTATTGAAGTCAAACATTCATACCAGCAAAACAAAGTAATAAGTGTACAACTAAAGTGAATATTTGCAAACTGAGGACATCCTGGAACCAGCATCCACATCAGGAAAGAGACTAGTACCCGCACTCCAGAAATAATGCCCTCCTCCAGTTACAGCAACCTTCAAGGGAAGTCCATGTCCTCTTTACCTTAGTTTTGAGGTAGCTGGTATCTATGGGATGTTTTTGTTAGGGGCTCTGTTGTTGTTTTTTAATAGCAGTTTTGTTGAGATATAATTCACACACTCTGTAACTCAGTACAATTCAATGATTTTTAGTAGTCACTAAATTGTGGAACCCTCGAGACAATCAGTTTTAGAACATTTTCATCACTCCATAAAGAAACCCATGCCTCTTAGCAATCACTCTCCATTCCCCTCGCCCTCTCCTCCCAGCCCCAGGAAACCACTATTCTATCCTCTGTCTCTAGATTTGCCTATTCTAGGTATTTCATATAAATGGAATCATACAACATGTGGTTTTTGTTACTGGCTTCTTTCACATAGCATTTGAGTTAACTTTTGTATATGGTATAAGATAGAGGTCCAACTTCAGTGGAGATCAGCAGTCTCAGCACCATTTGTGGAAAAGTGCTATTCTTTGCTCGTCAGATTGTCTTGACACCCTGGTCAAAAATCAATTGGTCATAAATGTGAGGGTTCACTTCTGGGTTTCAATTCTACTCCATTGATCTGTGGCGTATCCCTCAACTAGTACTACACTGTTTTGACTGCCATGGCTTTGTAATCATCTTTGAACTTAAGAACTATGAGTCATCTAAGTTTGTTCTTCTTATTTTGGCTCTTATTGGTCTCTTGAATTTCCATATGAGTTTTAGGATTAGCTTGTTGATTTTTTAAAAATTTTTCTATTTTTTTTTTTTTTTTTTTTAGAGACCGAGAGAGAGGAAGGGAGAAGGAGAGAGAGAAACATCAACAATGAGAGAGAAACATCATCAATCAGCTGCCTCCTGCACGCCCCTGACAGGGGATCGAGCCCACAACCCAGGCATGTGCCCTGACTGGGAATCGAACCAGTGGCCTCTTGGTTCCTGGCTCGATTCTCCACTGCTGGGCTACACCAGCTGGGCCTATTCCTGGTTTAAAGAAAAACAATTTTTTTAAATCATGGAAGGGTGTCACATTTTGTCACGTGCCTTATCTGTTTCTATTGAGATGATGATGTGGTTTTGTCCTTTGTTTTATTGATATGGTGTATTACATTAATTGATTTTTGGATGTTAAAGTAACCCTGCATTCCTGGGTAAATCACCCTTGGTCAGGTGTCTGGTTTTTTTTTAGGTTAAACCTGCTTTATTCCCCCTCCTCCCCCATCATATATATATGTGTGTATGTGTATATATTTATATATATCCGAATTCCACTCACTAGTGTTTTGTTGAGGATTTTTGTATTTATATTCATAAAAGTATTGATTTCAACCGAAGGACTTGTATGCATGCATATAAGCATAACCAATGGACATAAGACACTGGGGGGTAGGGGAGGCCAGGGGATTGTCAAGGGCGGGGAAAAAAAAAAGGAGACATATGTAATACTCTTTGTAATACTTTAAGCAATAAAAAAAAATTTAAAAAAATTTAAAAAAAATCTGTTTTGAAGACAAGCTTAGGGAGTTTCAAAAAGTATACAGCTGCTTCTGCCATATTTTGAAAATTCCCCATGTTTGCTGTCAAAAGATCATTATTAAAATAGATTTGTAAGGGAAAAAACTCACTAGGTATTTTTTAATGCAAGCTTCTCTTCTTTTAAAAATGTTTTTATTGATTTTTAGGGAGAGAGAGGTAGAAACCTTGATAAAAGGGAAACATTGATAGGCTGCCTCTTGCATATCCCCTCCTGTGGACCGAGCCCACACCCAGGGCATGTGCCTTCTTGACCAGGAATCGAACCGTGACCTGGTTCATAGGTCAGTGCTCAACCACTGAGCCACTGAGCTGGCTGGGAAGGTCCTCTTTTTCATTCAACAAACATTTACTGAGCACTTACGGATTCATTATAAAAAATAAATTAATAACTATTCTTTGGACACAAACACCTCAACTAACAGTATAAGTAGTTAAATATTTTTAAAAAAATATTTTTATTGATTTCAGAGAGGAAGGGAGAGGGAGAGAGAGATAGAAACATCCATGCTGAGAGAGAATCATTGATTGGTTGCCTCCTGCACGCCCCCAACTGGGGATCGAGCCTGCAAACTGGGCATGTGCCCCTGACCGGAATCGAACCTGGGACCCTTCAGTCCACAGGTTGATGCTCTTTTCGCTGAGCCAAACCGGCCAGGGCTAAGTAGTTCAATCTTTTCATGTGTATCGGATATCTGCTTCAATCTCATCTATAGTAGCTTATTGTTTGTCAGTGTAAGACCTGATGATTTTATTTTGATTCAGTCTTAGTTTAGTTTGTTTTGTGTAACAAAATAATATAGCTTGGGGAAAATCAATACCTCTGGCAAGATTTGTAGCACCTTTGCTACAAATGTTACCTTCTGTTTACAAGGTTCTTAACTGTGCTGGCTGTTTTTTGCTTGTTAAGCAAATTCTGCCAAACAAAATAAGTGAAGCAATAACCAGGGAATAATAAGGCCTGAATTGAATACGTTTATCTACTAAAAGAACTCAGGGAATCTCGGGAAATCAAATGAAACATTGGTTTCAATCAAATTCTATTGGGCAAAAATTTTCTTTATACGGACAATTTAGCTCTGAAATAGGTTTTCTAAAATAATGTCAAGAGAAAATAACTTGTTCGTTTATTTGTCTTTTCTGTAGAGACAGTACGTCCGGTGTTTGCTATAGTTTGACACACAGTGTTAACCAGGGAATAGAATAAAAGGAGAGAAGGTTTCCGGTGTGTGTGGTGTTTCTAAGACCCTGTGTGTCTCTGCCTGACAAAGCCCATCACCATGTTCCCTGTGTGGTCACTACTGCTGACCAGGAGCCCACGGGGTCGGTTCCCAGCCTAGAAACTAGGAGCAGGGCTCTGTTTGAAGACCCACTTTGGAAGAATTTCTTATGTAAATCTCACCACAAATCTCCCGCTCAGCCCGTCTTCTTTTTAAAAATATTTATCGTTGTTAGTTTTTTGTGTGTTGTTTACAAAAGTAACATAGACTCAACGTAGAAAATTGGGAAAATTCAGTAAACCACAAACATTTTAGTCCCACCAGATAGAGACAGCTATGAACATCTTTCTTTATTTCTTATTTATTTTATATTTTTGTTGATCTCCAGAGGATTTGTTTCCCATTGAGGGAGTGGAGGGAGGGGCAGAGACCCAGAGAAAGATGGATGCGAGGGAGACGCACAGTTTGGTTGCCTCCTCCACGCTCCCTGGGGGCCAGGGATCCAGCCTGTGGCTGAGGTCCTGCCCTTGACCCGATCCAACCCTGGCCCTTTGGTCCTGGGCCTGACCCTCTACACGGAACCACACCCCCTGGGGTCCTGTCTCCTTTCCACTGTTGCCCGTTCTTCCTCTCCAGGCGGTCGCAACCCCACCCCGCTGACCGGGTTTCTCCTCTGAGGTCATCCCGCAGCTGGGTCGTGGTGCCCCCGGAGCAAGCCACGCCTTGGGGGTCCGGCCCCTTTAAGAGCCGGAGGGGGCGTGGTCCCCGAGGCGGTCCCCG